TTCAGTACAACGACAACAACAACAACAACAACGAACAAGGGCTCAGAAAAGGGTTCAGTGTGTACGCTGGGTGTAGCACGAACACTAACTGGTCTTATAATAAAAACCTGGAGCCAGATATTGGGGCAAATGCTGAAAGATGAGAGGAAACAAGTCACAGCCACTTCTCACCTCACCAACTCCTCAGCTGTAAAGGGAAGATCCTGTCTCCAGGAATTCTCAGACTGAATGCCGCTGAGTCCTCAGAAGAAAGGGCTCTGAACTCCTGTCTCCTCCTGCCTTATATTCCTTTCTCCAACCAGCGATATCACTTCCTGTCTCAACCTTCCTAGTGCTAAGATTACGGGTTTGTGACTCCCAAGTACCAGGATTAAAGGTGTGAGCCATCACCGCCTGGCTCTGTTTCTCTTTTAGACTGGATTAACCTTGTATAGACCAGGCTGGCCTTGAACTCACAGAGATCTGTCTGCCTCTGCCTCCTGAGTGCTAAGATTAAAGGTGTGCACCACCACCACCACCACCACCACCACCACCACCACCACCACCACCACCTAACCTCTGTGGCTGGCTCTGTGGCTGGCTCTGTCCTCTGATCTTCAGACAAGCTCTGATCTTCAGACAAGCTTTATTTGTTAGAGCATACACAAAAATATCACCACAGCTGGGATTTTAGATCTTAACACTCACACTGTCACAGAGAAGGAATGGGGGCTACAGGAGAATTACCTTCCCCAGGTGAACAGTTAGAAGAATTCAGGCAGTTTTGTCACAAAAGCAAAATTCTTAGTATTTAAAAAAAATTTAATCAAATTTATGTATGTGTATCTGTGTGTGGGTATATGCGCATGAGCGCAGGGTGGTACAGAAGCCAGGACAGGGTACCTGATCCCCTGGAGCTGGAGTTACAGGAGGTTGTGATCCACCTGATAGAGGTTCTGGGAACCGAACCCAGGTCCTCTGTCCGAGTATGTGTGCTTTGAGCTGCTGAGCCAATGTTCCACCCTGGAGGCAGAGTTCTTAAACCTCACTGCTTGACACTGCACACTAGGAAAGCAGGTATCTGGGCTTTTGTTCACTTGCTTGGTTGCTTGGTTTGGTTCGATTACTGGTTTTGTTTTCTTGCAGTGCTGGGGAGGGAACCCAGGGCCTCATGGTAGGCAAGCACACTACCTCTGGGCTACACACCCAGCCTCTGCGGGCATTTTCCACACGGCTTCATGTTGATCCTGTGAAACCCCTACACTCCATTTTATGGAGCTGAAAACCACGCCTACTAGGCTGTGCAGGACAAATTCCTACCCCTGCAGGAATTTACAGATTTTAGAAGAGCAAAGGGCCTCAGCAAAGGCAACTGCTAAGGAAGAAGGACTTGTGTACAAACCCAATTCTCTTCACTCTGTCCATACAATGCAGCACAGAAACAAGGAGTGTCTCAGGAAGAAAGAGACATTGTTAACAGAAGAGAGAAAGATGTCAACAGAGACCATCTCCTGGGGATAGGTAGAGCTTACTCCTTCTTATGCCCAAAGTTTTCAACAGCTGTGGGACAGTCTCTACACAGCAACCTATTTTGTCATATACTGGGAAGAAGGAATAGGAACTAGTGTCAATTGCTTTAAATATACTTTAGAATGAAGACAGGAGATGCACACACATGGATGGGTTTCTAGAACATGCTGATAGAGTTGGGTGTTCTAGATGACAGTGGATGGGCTTTATCAGATACATGAGGGTCATAACCATCTTCCTTCTGAAATTGCCCTGGCCTTACACCACTCCTAATTCACAGCTGTATGGTGATATCATTGTTGAAGAAAATCACAATTCATGTATCTTTTTGAGAAATAAAATTGCATTCAAACAGATTTTTTGCCCATAGAATGAGTTCAAAACAAACAAAAATACAGCAGCTTACACTTTCAAACATTACACTAATAAATGAATGACCTAATAACTCTTTGAGTAATGAATGCAGAGCTGGGAAACTCCTGCCTGCTTGAAGCCTGAAATAGAACTTCAATATAAACTCAACTACAGCATCAATCATATTATAACAATATTAATTTATTAAAACACTACAACCTGTACAGTTTGACTGACAAAAGCTTAATATGATTATTCTAATCACAATCAATAGATTTTGGACCTTCAAAGAGAAAGCCAGTAGGGTAACCATGCTGTGCTGTGGATATCGTTCTGTATAAATAAAACACTGATTGGCCAGTGGCCAGGCAGGAAGTATAGGTGGGACAAGGAGAGAGGAGAATTCTGGGAAGTGGAAGGCTGAGTCAGAGAGATACTGCCAGCTGCCGCCATGACAAGCAGCATGTGAAGATGCTGGTAAGCCACGAGCCACGTGGCAAGGTACAGATTTATAGAAATGGATTAATTTAATTTATAAGAACAGTTAGCAAGAAGCCTTCCACAGTCATATAGTTTGTAAGCAATATAAGTCTCTGTGTTTACTTGATTGGGTCTGAGCGGCTGTGGGACTGGCTGGTGACAGAGATTTGTCCTGACTGTGGGCCAGGCAGGAAAACTCCAGCTACAAATGGCGCCCAATGTGGGGCAAGAGTTTCCACCTAAAACCTGACCAAAAGATTCTAAAACTGAGCTAATAACAGCTTCCTAGTTGTCTCTCTCAAGTTAGCGGCAGCTTGTCAGTTTGAGCTACTGGCGGGTTCCTGGCCTTTGTGCTTGACCGGCAGTATGGCGGGAATGAGGCATCTACAAGCGGCACATTACGCTGCTGCTGTGTGGTGGATTTAGCCTTTGCTAGTATATTAAAAAAAAGAGGTTTCTGGGCCACACGTTGCTTTGATAAAAGCATATACCCACTGTTTCTAAGAGTTGATGGTTCCCAGAGCTGGTGGTAAATGTACCACCACCACATTGGAAAGCTGAAGTGGGCAGAGCCAGCAGCCACAGCACCGTTTCAGTCTTAGAATGCTTCAGTTTAAAGCAACAGGCTCAAGGTAATATAAAAAATAAGCCATATAAAGATGGCTACCACACAGAAAATCTGGATTATGTTCTCTTTGATATTTGTAACTGAAGAAAAACATTTGATTGCAAAAGCTGTTGAGTTATACCAAAATGTATATTTTAAAGGTACCTTGACTTCAAAATTTGGATGTAAGGATATGTTGCTTTGGAAAGGAGGCTCTGCTTTTGTTTCCACAGAAAGCCAGAGGCTATGGATTTGTTCCAGATTAAGATACATCAGGTTTGATCAGCCAAGACCCCCTGAAAGGTCTCCAATGACACCAAGACCCAGATGATCCAACATCCAAAACCATTTCAAGGCAACTAGCTCAGACGATACACCCTCACGGACTATTCCATAATCCTAAAATTTTCTTTGTGTACCCATAAGATACAGTGTCCCCTCTCCAGCAGGAGTAGTAAGAGAAGCTACGCCCAAATTCCCAAATTATATGTAATTTTACTATGTTAAGGTTAAAACCTTCCTTTTTGAAAAAAAAGAAAAAGGGAAGTGCTGTGGATAGCGTTCTGTATAAATAAAACACTGATTGGCCAGTGGCCAGGCAGGAAGTATAGGCGGGACAAGGAGAGAGGAGAATTCTGGGAAGTGGAAGGCTGAGTCAGAGAGACACTGCCATGACAAGCAGCATGTGAAGATGCCGGTAAGCCACGAGCCACATGGCAAGGTACAGATTTATAGAAATGGATTAATTTAAGATATAAGAAGCCTGCCACGGTCATACAGTTTGTAAGCAATATAAGTCTCTGTGTTTACTTGATTGGATCTGAGCAGCTGTGGGATTGGCTGAGGACAGAGATTTGTCCTGACTGTAGGCCAGGCAGGAAAACTCTAGCTACAATGCTGAGTCCTCAAATGCTTCATTCTAATATAAAGTAAATGGTCACTGACACTGAGGTATCCAATTCAAAATCTTGTCCATTTGTGATTTAGCTATTAGGGATCCATAGCAGAGGATCTCTGGCAGCTGATGCACGCTACAGTATGTCTGTAAGCTCCTTTTCTTCTACCAGCTTGAAGAGACGGCCAGTCATAAGGATCAGCTCCTCCCACTTCTTTGCTTTCTTTGAGAAGTGGATTCTATCATCTACCTATCTATCATCTATCTATCTACCTACCTACCTAGTTATCTGCTATCTATCATCTACCTATAAGTCTATAGATATATAGAGGGAAGGAGGGAGAGAGGAAGAGAGAACGTGTATCTCCTCTATCAATCATTATGCAGTAGTCACCATTTATCTGAAGAAGACACATCCCAAGATCCCCAGTGAGTCCCTAAGACTACAAATAGTACTGAACTCCCTATTTTTTACATACATACGATGCACTTCTGTTTATACATTAAGAACTGTAAGAGATTAACGACAGTAACCAATAGCAAGAGAGAACAACTAATTCAATATACTATAGTAAGCATTATATGAATATGGTCTTTTTCTTTTTCAAAATTTTGTAACACAGTCACCCTTTTAGTGATGATGTGAGATGATACAGCAGCTATGGGATGAGATGAGTGATGTAGGCATTGTGACATAACATCAGGATATTATGGAAGGGCAAATTGAAGAAGCCCTGCAACACCTGGGCTGTTGAGCTGATAACCAAACAGCTACCTAGTGACAAGTGGAAGGAAGTGCACACAGTACTGATACTTTACACAAAGAAAAAATTCACATCCTGAGTAGGATGGAGGTGGACTGCTCGGAGTGACACACAATTTAAGATCATGAGTTGCGTATTTGGGGGACCGTTCTATTTAACATAACACATTTGGACAGTGAGTAATTGCAATCCTGGATACAGGAGAAGTTCTGTATGGATAACTTAGGGTCTTTTTTGGGAAATGTCTTCAAGTCAAAACTAAAGCAGTTTACTCCCATGGAAATGAGCAATACCAGGACACATAAGGCAAACCTGCCTCATTCGTGAGCACCTGCCCCATCTGACCACCCTCAGCCGAGAATGGTACAACACTGTGGATCCCACACCATACCTGAGGGTCGGGACCGTCATTAGCCTCCGTCACGGCTATGTGCTTGTCAGCATTTTCATCGTCTTGTTCAATTGCTTTAGAGAAATAAAGACAAACATACATCGCATCGTAAGAAAATGTTTCAGGTAATTTTTTCCAGATAACAACTTGTCAGGAAAAAAATAATGCTAGAATCATAAAATGAAAACACAGCAATACCATTTGTTATTTGCATGGAAGGTTACCTGTCACACTGGGTGTTTGTCATGTACATTGTCTCAAAAACTAAACCAACGACGGTGGGAAGTTTTAATTTCAGTTCTTCTCTCCATCCCATCCCATCCTGACATGATCCTTTTAGTGTTGTACTTTACCAAAGGAACCCTGCAGTGCAGGCAAGGGTGTCAGGAAGTCTGGGGTACAGGCAAGGGTGTCAGAGGAACCCTGAGGTACAGGCAAGCGTGTCGGGAACCCTGGGGTACAGGCAAGGGTGTCAGGAACCCTAGGGTACAGGCAAGGGTGTCAGAGGAACCCTGGGGTGCAGGCAAGGATGTAGTCTGGGGAACAGGCAAGGGCATCAGGAAGCCTGGGGTACAGGCAAGGGCGTCAGGAACCCTGGGGTACAGGCAAGGGTGTCAGGAAGTCTGGGGTACAGGCAAGGGTGTAGTCTGGGGTACAGGCAAGGGCATCTACTCATTTTCACTGAGAGTCGTTAAATTATTATTTTTAAATGGAGGACTGAACCAGGGGCTTCACATTCTATTGCTGAGCTGCTATATTCACAGGTCATCACTAAGGTATCAAGGTAAGCCTTGAACATTGGATCCTCCTCTCTCAACTTCCCAAGTAGCTGGTACTATAACTCTGCACACACACATACGTGTGTGTGTGTGTGTGTGTGTGTGTATGTGTGTGTGTGTGTGTGTGTGTGTGTGTGTGTGTGTGTGTGGTATTCTAGGTGGCAAGGAAACAATACTTTATGGCTCAGTTTACGGGTGCACTGTCATTACAAAATTCCAAACAATCCTTCTCCTTCCCCTCTGGACCTCCTTGTCAAGCATTTTGTGGCCCTTTCCTCCCTGCTACAACAACCTCCCACAAGAAGCCCTGGTTCCAGACTCTTCTTTACTTAATCCAGCATAGTGCAACTTCGAAAGTAATCAGTCTCAAAGAATATAAATACAAGTGCCATGCTCTGGCCTGTGGATTCCTTATCTCAGAAGTCTGCTCACTACTGGCAGGATTCCTTCCACTCTCCAGCTTCCTTGGAATCTCTACTCTCACACAGACATTCAATAACAAATACAGTGTATGCAACTCTGATCCATGCTTGACGACGGAACAGCTTTTCAGGATGTACAACTTGTTTGTACAGTTAAAAGCAAGTGTGTGCTGAGAGTGCCTACTGTGTGCCTGGCATTGGAGTTTTGCTCACAAACAAGACAGATAAGCCCCAGGAAGTACACATATTACCTGAGGAAACAGTCAGTTACAACAATAAATGTAAGATGTAGTGAAGGTTGGGGAGATGGCTAACTGTATATATAAAGTCTCTTGCCACCTGAGGACTGGAGTGTGGTTTCTGCTGTTTGTTTTCTGATTTCCACATGAACACCATGTCATAAGCAACCCCCCGCCCCCCCCACACACACACCAAAGTCAATGTAATTGTGGTGGTTTGAAACAAAATGGCCCCCAAAGAGAGTGGCACTATTAGGAGGTGTGGCCTTGTTGGAGGAAGTGTGTCACTGTGGGGGTGGGCTTTGAGGTCTTTTTTGCTCAAGCTTCCCACAGTGTGTCAGCCAGTCAACTTCCTGTTGCCTGCAAGATGTAGGACTCTCAGCTACTCTAGCACCACATTTGCCTGAAGGCTGCCATGCTCCCCATCATGATGATAGTGGACTGAACCTCTGAAACTGTAAGTGAGCCACCCCAATTAAATGGATTCTTTACAAGAGTTGCTGTGTTCATGGTGTCTCTTCACAGCAATCAAAACACTACGACAGAAGTTAGTACCAGGGACTGGGATATTGCTGTGATGGACCTGACCATGGTCATGTTTTTATTTGGAGGAATTTGGGCTTTGGTACTTTGGGTTAGAAAAGCAGTGGGATGTTTTAAGCACTGCTTAAGGGACCACACTAGTAGGAACATGGAAGACAGGGGTGCTAAGAGTTGTTTCAACTATGCGGGTGCTCACTCAAGAGATTTCAGAGGAGAAGAATTTTAGTATGTTGTCTAGAGATTGTTCTTGTGATATTTTGGTAAAGGAAGTGCTGCCTTCTGTCCTTGTCCAAAGAGTCTGTCTGAGGCTAAAGTGAAGAATTTTGGATTAATTCCATTGGCAGAAGAAATCTCAAAATAGCCTAGTATAGACTCTGTCATGTAGATATTAGTGGTAACTCAAATGAAGATTTACAATGAAAAGGAGCAAGCTAAGCAAGGAAAAAAAAAGGGCACCAGAAAGTGGAATGTTACTCAAGGAGATAAACAGAATAAGAAACAGAATAAAGGGAATGATGACCTCAGGGTAAGATCCTGCCCAGCTAAGTTTCCAACTTGTGAAAAGGAACTGAAGAAAAGCTGAGAGCTGGGTGTGGTGGAGCATGCCTTTAATCTCAGCACTGGGAAGGCAGAAGCTGGCAGGTCTCTGAGTTTGAGGCCAGCCTGGTCTACACAACAAGTTTCAGAGCAGCCAAGCTTAGGCAGTGAAAGAGAATGCTGGTGAAGAGGTAATTGAACAAGGGGGCCATGTTCCAGCCCCAGTGAGCAGCAGAACTTGGCAGCTTTGGCCACATGGTTCTGGCTTTAGAGTTAAGGATAGAAGGAAGGAATTATGGAATAAAGCCGCTGAGGCCAGGCATGTGTCAGGGGTGTCCCTGAATGGAGGCCTAGTTGAGAGGCCATTGTGTGAAGCTGTGAAGTTGAGATGCCAGAGTCATGGGATACCTGCCAAAGAAAGCTGCTAACAGGGAGTGGAACCAGCCCAAGAGAAAGAAGTGTGTTGCAGTCAAACCTGAATGGAGTTAGAAATCTGAAGAGTGTTTTGACATCAGACATGGAGATGCAAAGTTTGGAGTTTGTCCAGCTGGTTTTCAGTCTTGCTTTGGTCCAGTATTTCCTTACTATGCCCCCTCCCTACGTTCTGGAAATGGTAATGTATATCCTGTGCCATTATAAATGTTCGAAGTATGTGATCTGTTTTTTGATTTTGATTTTATAGGGGATTATAGTTAAGAGATTTCATGAATCTCAGAAGAGACTTTGAACTTTGGACTTTTATACGTTGTTGGGATTGTGATAGACTATGGGGACTTTTGAAGTTGGACTAAATGCATTTTGCCTTTTGGGGCCCAGGGAGTGGAATGTGGTGGTTTGAAAGAAAATGGTCCCCAAAGGGAGTGGCACTATTAGGAGGTGTGCCCTTGTTGGAGGAGGCATGCCACTGCTGGGGTGAGCCTTGAAGTCTCTTTTGCTCAAGCTTCCCTCAGCGCGTCAGTCAGTAGACTTCTTGTTATCTGCAAGATGTAGGACTCTCAGCTATTCCTCCAGCACCACATCTGTCTGCCTGCCACCACGCTGCCCACCATGATGATAATAGACTGAACCTCTGAAACTGTAAGCCAGCCACCTCAATGAAATGTTTTACTTTACAAGTGTTGCCACGGTCATGGTGTCTTTTCACAGGAATAAAAACCCCCAAGACAGCAATAGAACCTTTAGCTGAGATAAGATGAAAAGTCATACAAGGACAGCTATGAAAATGCAGCAGACCCCCGTAGGGATCATGCAAGCCAGGAGGACATGGGTGGTGCTTCTTTGAATAATCATATTTGCGATGAGACTTAAGGCTGAGCTAATCCCATCGCAGGACACAATGATACATGACAAACCTGGAGACAGTACAGACCACAGAAAATTTAGCCTTGAGCCAGAGAACACAGTGAACCACTGAAGACTTTGTATCCACAGTGAACCACTGAAGACTTTGTATCCGTTGATGCCTACGTTCTCAAGTTCCGTCAACTTGTCTGTGGATAATAAAGGATATCACAGCAGCAAGCAGAAACAGAGGCCAGTCAGGTGACTGCTACAGTGGCCTTCCTTAGAAATGGGATGACTTAGGCTAGGGAGGCAGCAAAGAGAAAGATAACTGTGGAGGACTCGGGTTGTCCTTGTAGATAGAGTGAACTCCACCCGACAATGAACTGAGTACGGGAGACGTGCAGGAAAGAGGTGATGGAGAATTAACAGTCTTAGGCAGAGCCCTGTGCTCACCATAACACTCACCCTCTGACCTCTCCATCAAAAGGAGGACAACCACCTACAACCCCCGACCCTAACTGCACTCATGGACTCACTCACCATGGACTTACAAATATACTTTCTGCTGAGCAGTTTTCAGAATATTGTTTCGCCTGTTTTTGCTTTTGTATAACGTTTGTGCCCGCTGTGTGGCACTCACTACAAAGCCCACTAGAGCTCTGCGTACAGTATGCCCTGTGAAAGCGAACAGGCTGAACAATGCATTGCCAAGTGGCCAGAATGGTTCTACTTGACACCACTTACTTACATAATATAAAAAGCTACATCTTTTAACTATTCATGAAAGGAGGGAAGACAGTTCCCCTATTAAACTACCCAGATAACTAAGGCCACTTCTACCAGCTGAGCATGCCCAGGCTAAGCAGGGACAGTGGAAGTGAGTAGAGGCTCTGCCCCTATTTGCATCAAAAAGTCCCATTCATGCTTGTTCAAAAGAGGTCCCCTACTGCTACTGCTACTGCTACTGCAGGTCACTTAGGAGGGAATTTAAAGGAAAAAAAATCACTAGGAGAGACAAGGAAAGGAAAAATATCCTCAACCCCTCTTAAAAAGGCAACAGGCCCTGTAAGCAAGCAATTCCACTCAACCAAATGAAATTCCATATGAAGTTTTATCCTGTGAGCAAGCTAATATGCATGAATGGAGGCTTCCAAGGACATGAGGATTGTTGTGGAATATCTGTATACACTGTAAAGATGTGTCTCTGCCTAAAGCGTCTTCTGATTGGTTGAAAAAAGAGCTGAATGGCAAATAGTTAGGAAGGAGAGAA